CTTCCAACCTTCTAAATATTCCTTTATATGTGGTTCAGAGTTCTGGGACCATTCCCTGAGTCTGCTTGTTTGGGTATTCTGTGTTGTTGCTGGTGGAGCTCCTTTATCACACTTCCACCCGATTTGCCATCTTGTTTGTTGTGTTTCCTGAATTAAAAAAAAAATGTTTTCTAGGTTTTCCATGATTTCATTTGTAGTTTCACCCATCATTCTCTCAATCCATTGAAATTGCCTTATTAGCATTGCTTTACATTCCTTATCAAGGTCGTTCCAATACCACTTCCTGTGTTATATTTTCTAACTCTAATTTGATCACTTGTTTGAGATGATCTGTCTTGTTTCTTTTGTAAGCTGAAATTGCATGTTTTCCCTGATATATTGTGGTGTCGTATTTATATTTAAATGACCATTGTGTATTGGTGTGTTTTCAGGCACTCACCACCTGTATCCTGGTGGATGTGGTAGAGACTGGAAGTGTGAACGCCGATCTCTGTTTTACAGCAATCTCTGTATATTTAGTGTAGTTCAAGGTGAGATTACGAGCCTTTGAACAGAATAAAGGGATACTCCAGAAGCAGGGCACGCTGCCCAATGCCTGACCCCAGGTAGAGCAGAGGCTATACGAGAGGGGTTGCCCTGGCTGCTGGGTTGGTGAGTGAGGGGACTGGCTACTCCTCCAGCTACGAGAACTGCACCCCCTTGCTGCCAACCTCCATATGAGTCCTGTGCCTGCAAGCTGCTGTATCAACAGCCACTTGCAAAAGTTCAAGATGGTCACATCACTCTACACCAGCTGACAGCATGCCCATTTTTTCTTCTCTCTCACTGCTCCTATTCAGCTTCCTCTTCAGTCAGCACCTAGTCCACCTTCCTGTCCTATCCTCTGATGCTCAGGGTTCCAGCAATAACATTGATCGCCTATGTTTTTGTTGTAGAGGGTCAGCTCAGTGTGTCTGCCTATTCCACCACCTATGGCTTTTTTTTTTTTTTTTTTGAGAGTTAGAGTTTTGTTCTGCAATTTCCTCCCATTTTATCCAGGACTATCTCTTGTGTTCCCAATGAGAATGGTTGCTACCTTTTGTTTACTTCTGGTCTCTGGATAAATGTGACCATGGTTTGTATAGAAGTTAGAACTATAGACTAGTTTCTTTGAATCTTTGGTTTCATTTTTCTCTTTTGCTCCAGTTGAGTAGAGACCAGTAGTTGTATCTTAGATGTCTGGTCACAAGATTTTAAGACTTCATACTCTATTATATTGGAGTCCTGGTATGGTACTGCGGGTTGGTACACTGAACTGCAAAGGTGGTTTGAACAACAGCAACAACTCTATTTTACTAAGATGTAGAATATAAATGTTATAAACTGTATTGTGCCAATTGTGTGAGTTGTCCCAGGAGACTATCATCCTAAGACTTCAAATCCAATAAACCAATCCTGTGAGATGTTTGGTTATGCCTGGAAGGTATCTGTGTCTATGCCCCCTATGTAGTTTTATTTTGTAAACATGTGTGAACATATGTGCAGTGCACATACATGTATATACATGTACCTACAGACAACCTGTTATGTGTATACTTATATACACACATGTTGTTGTTAAATACTTTGCTATATACATAAATGCATATATAAGGGGCCTTCAAACAGTTCATGAAAAAAATTCCATTCCTATAATTTAATTTAATTTTCCCATGAACTTTTTGAAGCCATCTAATATATCCAATTCTTAAATTATTCTTTTGCCCTTGGGGGTGGTACAAACAATTTGTGCTTAAGTTCAAGCTCACCACCTGCTCCTCGGAAACCCTACACAGGGTCGCTATGGGTCGGAATCGACTCGACAGCACTTAACAACAACAACAATTGACCTAAAAAGGTTGGCCTTCTGAATCCATTCAACATCACTGCAGAAAAAAGGCTTGGTTCTGTAAAATTTACACCCAAGGAAGCCTTATGGAGAAGTTCTGTTTTGCAGTATATGAGGTCACCATAAATTGGAATCTCAGGAGGGCATGGGGTTTGGTTTTGGATTTTTTTTTTTTTTTAGGTTAGCGTGATTGAATTACACTTTACACACACAGTCAGTTGCCCTAGTGTATTCCCCTTTGAGTTATTTAACTTTCCATCACAGCATTTCTGACTCCCTAACTAGGCTCCAGGCTTCTCCACATGGATGTGCCCAGGACTCATGCTCTCACAGTTGCTTTCAGATAGGGCTTCAAGGGCTACCCCAAAATCTCTCTTAGACAGTGATGCTGCTGTTACCTACAGAGTTAGGAAAATTAATAAGACTAAGCTCTGATTTCTCAGAAGAAATGATGCAGGCAAGAAGATAATGGATTAAAGCTAGTCATCCTTGGACGCTTAATGATACCCAAGGGATCCTCCCAATAAAATTGTTGTTGTTGTTAGATACCTTAAGTTTGGTACCAACTCAGAGTGACCTTATATACAATAGAATGAAACACTGCCTGGTTCTGCACTGAACTCACTATTGTTGCCATACTTGAGCCCATTGTTGCTGTCATCTCGTTGGGGGTTTTCCTCCTTTTTGATGGCCTTCCACTTTACCATGCATGATGTCCTTCTCCAGAGTGTGGTCCTTCATGATAATATGTCCAAAGTATGAGAGATGAAGTCTCACCATCCTGGCTTCTAAGGATCATTCTGGGTGTACTTCTTCCAGCACAGATTTGTTTGTGGTACTTTTAATATTCTTATCCAAAACCATAATTCAAATGCATCACTTCTATGGTCTTACTTATTCATTGTCCAACTTTCAAATACATATGAGGCCACTGAAAATACCATGGGTTGGGTCAGGTGCATCTTAGTCCTCAAATTGACATCTTTGCCCTTCAACACTTTGAAGAGATCTTGTGCAGCAGATTTGCCTAATGTAATACGTCATTTGAGTTCTTGACTGCTGCTTCCATGAGTGTTGGTTGTTGATCCGATCAAAATAAAGTCTGACAACTTCAGTCTTTTCTCTATATTTATCTTGATATTATTTCTTAATCCAGTGGTAAGAATTTTTGTTTTGTTTTCTTTACATTAAGGTGCAATCCATACCAAAGACTTTGATCTTCATCAGTAAGTAGTTTAATCCTCTTCGTTTTCAGCAAGTAAGTTTGTAATGTTGTTGTTGTTAAGTGCCGTCAAGTCTGTTTCGACCCATAGCTACCCTGTATAGGGTTTCCTAGGAGCAGCTGGTGAGCTTGAACCACGGACCTTGTGATTTAAGCTGACTTTGCAATCCAGTGCATTAACCCACAACGACACACCATGACTACAAGATTGTAATGGAAGTCACAAATTAAAAAAATATTTTGTAGACTCTGGTTTGTTGGCATCTCTCTCTATCCACCAGAGGGCAGTGATCTACCCTGACTGGTAGTCTAGGCACCGCTTTCCGTTCTGCCCTTTTAGATACTAGCATTTTAGCTTTTGAAGGTCGCTCCAAAACAGTTTTTGGTCTTTTTTTTTTTTAACTGTAAGAAATACATCTTACATTTCAGTCTAGTACAGAACAGACAAGCATATGCAATTCTAAATGTATATGTTGTTGTTGTTAAGGACCATTGCGTCTGATCCAACCCACAGAGTCCCTGTATATGGTTTCCAAGGAGTGGCTGGTGAGGTTGAACTGCTGATCTTGCAGTTTAATCGACTTTGCAATCCAGTGCTTTAACCCACAGTGCCACTACAATTTCACAAAAGAACATTTTCTTTTAATATTTACTTTATATTATATGCAGTATGGGGAGCTCTGGTGGAGCTTAAACAACAGATTAGAAGACTAGCACTCCAAAGCCTCATCCTAGGCGTCATCTAAGTTCCAAAGTGGCCTCTTTAACTCTACTTTTCCTTAACTGTCATGTCCAGGTTATTGAACTATATGTATACTTTGAATATCCTTTTCCAGCGACAAAACTGTTGAAGCATATCCATTGCTCAGGCAGTTTGCAATCATAGGGTGTGTGTGTGTGTTTTCCATTCCCAAACCCCATGAACATGGGCTATCACACAACAACCTCTAGCAGGGTGTTGTATCTTTAAGAATATAAGTTCTGCCTCTCAGCCACTGTGTCAGTACATTAAGACAATTAAGTAGGCAGGGAGTTACCAGCTGCGGGGTCTGCTGAAATGCAGGCGATCCTTCTCATGCGGTCCCATCTTTGTTCTGTAGAACGTTTCCCAGAGGACATTCAAGATCGACTACAACCAGAACTGCTTCCTCAAGGATGGGCAGCCGTTTCGCTACATCTCGGGAAGCATTCACTACTACCGTGTGCCCAGCTTCTACTGGAAGGATCGGCTACTGAAGATGAGGATGGCTGGCTTGAATGCCATCCAGATGTAAGTAGGAGGGCACTGGGCCTAGGCACCTGGAAGGAGGTACAGCTGCATTTCTGGGTGGGAAAGAGCTAGAGTACAGTGTGGCTTTCTGGAAAGGTTTTATCATGCGCTTGGCTGGCCTTTCTTCAGGCAGTTAACTGCTGCTTCCAATCTTAAACTTTGTCACCAGAAATCACAAATGAAGATCTGCTTTAAAAAGGCAATGTGAAGTCACAATTCACTTTAACAGGTGCAGGGCATTTTGTGTGAATGATCCACTTTTCTGAGGTAGGAATTATCAGAGACCATTTACAGCTGATGAAAGTAATTTCTCCTGGGTCACACTTTTGATCAAAGGTCCAGCCAGGACTTAACCATAGGAGTGTTTGTAGGTAGCCACAGCTTCCCTCAGCTCTTAGGGGGAGTATGTGTTGGTAGGAAGATTTAGGAAACCTAGTTTGTCTTTCTGAAACCTGGTGTGCTCTGCTGGGGTAATTCTGTAACCCCAAACTATAGAATTACCTTAAAGTTATCTCTCTTCGTCTTCTCATATGCTGTTGCAAGGTGACTAATAGGAAGAAAGTTGAGGAGGCCGACCTCTTGTTTTTGCAGTGTGGATAGATACGTTTTTAAAGATAAATGGGGAGGAAACCCAGAGGCAGATTCCTGGGACAGACACTGGCGAGGAGATGGCTACTCTTCTCTCTGGTATTAAGGCCACTGGCAGAATGGGACCTGTCTGGTTTTAGGATTCTGAGTTCTGGGGACCAAGGTAGTTAGTCCTAGAAAACCTTGAAATTATGGGATTGTGGAAAAAAGACACAAACCCTGGAGACCCTTGTCTTCATATGTAAATTCGTATCCCAGGCTGTAGAGGGGCTGCTAGGAAAGTTTTGTCATTTTTATCTCCTGCCAGGCTGTTTGCTGATAAAATATTTTTATCAGGAGGGCATAGGGATTGGAAGTTTTTCTATTTATGTTTGAAAGCTTCTTTCAAAAAAAAAAAAAGTGTACCTCTTATTACTGTTGTTGTTGTAAAGTGCTGTCGAGTCGGTTCTGATCCATAGTGACCCTGTATAGGGTTTCCAAGGAGCAGCTGGTGAGCTTGAACTGCCAACCTTGCAGTTCAAATGGCTTTGCAGTCTGGCCCATTAACCCACAGCATCACATAGTTGAAATATTTTCATGCTGTTAAATCATTATTTTATTTTTTTGTTACAGGTTTCGTAAACTTTCAAGTTATCGCATCCCCGTTTGTATTCATACCTTTTTAAAAGAGCATGTGTTAAATGACAGTGAACATTCTTTGTGGATCAGCAATTCTCCTCTGTCCTGTATGAGGTTGCTATGAGTTGATGGCTGTGGTTAGCAATGTTCTGTGTCTCCGCTGTATTACTGTCAACATTCCAGGTGTGATGTTGTGATATAGTTTTGCAGGATGTCAGAATCGGCTTGATAGCAGGTGTTTGGTTTGGGGTTTGGGTGGTTAGCAATGTTCTGTATTTCCACGGTATTAATGTTAAATTCCAGGTGTGATGTTGTGATAACAGTTTTGCAGGATGTCAGAATCGGCTTGATAGCAGGTGTTTGGTTTGGGGTTTGGGGTGGTTAGCAATATTCTGTATCTCCACTGTATTAATGTCAACATTCTGGGTGTGATGTTGTGATATAATTTTGTAAGATGTTGGAATCGACTCAATGCAGTGGGTGCTGGTGATGGGTTGTGAGCTGTTACCATTGGGGGAGATTGGGTAGAGGGCACACAGAATTCCTGCATTATTTCTAACAATTGTGTGTGCAGCTAAAATTATCTGAAAATAAATAATTTAATTTATAAATAATTAAAGTGTTCCCATCAAGTTTGATGACTTCAGATAACTGCTAGGAAAACTCAAAACAAGGCTTCCTCACGAGGGGCTGCCAGAACGGGCAGTATGTGTGTCCTGTGGGTTTATAGTTCTGCAGAAATTCAGGGAGAAAAGTTGGATTT